CCTCTTGTCTTCCTTTGGAACAGGAAGAGTAGGCAGGTGTTGTGTTGTGGAGCAGTGGATAAAGACAATGGCTTGCAATGCCCATATCTGATGTTGGAGTATGTGGTTGCAGTCTCAGCAACTCTGCTTCTGATCCATCGTCCTGCAGCAGTATTTCCTGGGAGGCAGTGGCTGGTTTTGAGTATGTGGTTGCAGTCTCAGCAACTCTGCTTCTGATCCATCATCCTGCAGCAGTATTTCCTGGGAGGCAGTGGCTGGTTTCCACTTGGGCTGCTGCACCCAGATCAGAGACCCAGATGGAGTTCCAGACTCGTGAGTCCAGCCTGGCCCAGCTGTGTCTGTTGCAAGCACTTCAGGGAATGTACCTACAGGTGGAAGACCCCTCTCTGTCTCTCTCTCTGGAGATCTGACATTCAAGGAGATGAAATTTAGAAACAGAGCAGTAATTGACGGGATCTGATGAGGTTTGGGTGAGAGCTGAGGTCATGGAAGGCAGGGCGGAGTGCTGTAGGTTAGGATTATATCCAAGCTCAAAGCCTGTGGACTATTTCTGGGTCCCTAATCTGTTGGAAATTTGCTTGGCTTCTGATTCCCAATTTTATAACCCAGCCTAGGACAGAAAATTAAAAGAAAAAAGCAAAGCTGGACAAGCACTTGGAGTACAGCTTAGGGAGCTCAGGGCAAGAGGAAGCAGGTGAGACCCTAGAAACAGCAGCACAGTTGCCGGCTGCTATGCGTCGGAAGCTTGCTGCAGCTGCCACTGCAGCCTCCTCGGGGCCTGGTGGGGAGGGAAATGACAAATGGTCGGTGTCTGCTAAACCCCAAACTGCAGCAAATCCTTCCTCAGGGACTGGGGAAGGAGGAGGAGCAACTGAGGCAGGACCGGAACACTGGACAGTGGGGAAAGCAGCCCTGGGCTTGCCTTGGCCTCCAGCACATCCTCTCTGGATGGCCAACACCACATTTGGCCTCTGCTGTTCCAGAGAAATCCAGAAACTGGAGAGGATCCAAGTCGGAGCAACAAACATGATTAAAGAGGGCGAGAATGGGGCCCGTGGGGCACGTTAAAGAAATTGGGGTTGATTTGCCTAAAGCAGTAAAGATGAAATGAGGACTGTATTCAAGCCCATGAAGAGACCCGGGTCTAGTGATTTTCCAAAACTGAGAGCACAGAATAAGAGGTAAATGGCCAACTTTGCTGCCAGAGCGCCCAGGTGAAGGAATCGCTGGTGGGTGGCCCTCCCCGCAGGACTGTGCATTCTCCCCAGAAACCCTTGACTCCAAGCTCCTCCAAGTCCTCCCCGGCAGCCACCAGGCTCAGCTCCCTGGCTTCTGGGAGCCTCATCATCGGGTGGGCCTGGGGGCAGGGAGAGAAGCCCAGGCAGGTGCACACCCCGCCCCCAGCAGACTTGGATCAGGGCACTGCAGGAAGCACTAACCTTTGAGGCTGGACGCCCAGGGACAGTTCTGTGTAGAGGTTCGTGGCTGTGGCTGAGGTCTCCATCTCTGATAGCCGCATTGCTCTCTCAGCCACCAAGGCATTGAGTGAACATGGAAAAGTCAGCATGCCCCTGCTGCCTCCCCACTGCCCCCAAACACCCCACGAAATACGCATCTCTCCACAGGTAGGAGGGCCGTGACCTTGAGTGGCAGACAGAAAGGTGCTACCAGTGAGGAAGATGCTGGGACAAAACTAGCTCCGCCCAGGCAGACCCTTACCCAGAGTTCAAACTCCAGAGTGAAAGCAGCCTTGGTGTGGACATGAAGTTGGAAGTTGCGACAAAAGTCCTGGCTGCTTGCCCGTAAGACAGGTGTCTGTCACTGCTGTGTAACTGATGCCCTGGATCGGCATCTCCATGTGAGGAACATGTCATCTCCCAAGGGCTCCTGTGGGCCAGGACTTCAGGTACTAAGCGACTGGACTGCCTCATTTGGCTTCAGGGTCTCTCCACTACTTGTTGGATGTTTCCCAGGTCTGCCAGCTGCCTGACCCAAGTGACAGTGGGAAGAGCTGGGTGGGCTGTCCCAGCAGCTGGGCATCCAGCCATGGAGTCGCCCAGTGGTCATAGGTGCCTTGAAATGGGCTCTCTGGGGAGCGGGCAGTAAGGAGTTTCTACTGCAGTAATACAAGAGGACTCACCGCATCGCCCAGGAGCCTCCAGTCACTGCCACCATCCTGCCCTCACCATGCACATGGGCAACTGCAAGAACCCACGGCATAGACAGTGGATGCCTCGGGCAGGAGCTGGGTCTGCCCCCCTGGGGTGGGCTTCTTAGGAGGTGAGGCAAGGGGCCTGCAAGCAAGATGCTCTAGGAAAACAAAACTGTAGCTCCGGACCAGGAGCTGCCGGAGTTTCCATCTCCCAGAGAGGGAGTGAAGATTTCCAAGAATCTTAATCACAGAGGGACTGTGTTTGTTTACTCTTGCTGCAAGCCTCTGGGAGAGAGAAGCTGTGTCTCCAGTCCTGTCTTCTGGGCAGAGCTGCCAGGATGCTGAGCCTGCACACTGGGCTTGGGAAACGGCGGCTCTGTCTTGTCCGCTTGCACTCGCAGCCCATCAGGCCAAGAGCTAGTGTGGCTGACAGCTCAATGTCCTGTTCATTGTGAATCCCCAGGCTGGTGAACAAAAATAGCTCCCAGGAAATGGTGCCGCAAGGTCAATTCTTCCCACCAGGAAGGGACAACAGGCTGTCTATCCGAAATGTTAATGAGCAGATTCTGCCCTCTGACCCCACCATTACCTAACAATCCGGTATTGAATGCAGTGTCAGCTTCCATTTCCTGTGAGTGACGAGGCAGGATGCCCATGTGCAGGCGGGCCATCTGCCAGCTGGACGTGGGGTCTGCTCTTTGCCCATCTGGCTGTTCCTGACCTGCACGTGCAGTCCGTATGAGCGGAGGCTCAGCCCTGGCCCCCGCTGCACGGAGATGGTGAATTAGAGGGTTGAAAAACCAGGGTTTGTGGCTAAGAGCAGTATCTTTTACTTACTTATTTTTGGTGTTTTCTGCAATGACTGCTTGGTCTGATTTGAGCAAAAACAAATCAAGGATCCTCTTGGAGCACACTGAGCCTTTATAACCTGGACTTTTTAACATTATTATTACTTGGACTTTGACAGTCAAGGGTAACTGGGCAGTGGAGAGTGGAGGGTGTGTGGCACCCTGGGCCCAGGGCCTTTGAGGGCCAGCCTGAGTAGGTCATTTCTCCTGGCAGAATGATGCAAGAGGCAACAGCTGGGCCCTGCGGAAAGCCAGTCTGTCCCACTGACCTCAAAGGAGACAATGCTTCGTTCTCTGGCTCAGTGTTTCCGAGGCCTCCGTGTGTGAGTCACCTAGGGACTGGCCCGTGGCCTCGCCAGGGCGGATGCCAGGGTCCTGGACTGGGTTATACACGTCACGTCGGGGCCCAGGAGGCGGACGGTGTGCGGGGAGCTCGTGCCAGGCTTACACTCTCTGGTGGACTCTGGCTCATTCAGCGGATGTGAAAAAGGAAGCCGGCAGGATGTGCAAGCAGACCTCAGGCCAGCGCCCCGCCCGCTTCCCGGCCGGCAAGGATATGGCAGGCACGCTCTGCTGCTGTTTCCTCCTCAGTACCCCTGGCTGCAGATAAGGCCGGGGGTGGGGGCGGGGGACAGCACTCAGCAGCTTTGTGCCCTTTTCAAACTACCTGAAGAGTGACAAATGTCAAGGTCACCAGCTGGCGATCCAAAGGCTAGAAATGAAGGCGAGGAGCCAGCCAGTCCCGCACAGTTAACGGTGACTTGTCCATCTGTCCTAGCAGGCAGCAAAGTCTTCAAGGACCAGAGGCAAGCTGCTCCCACCTGGGCAGGCTCTGACCCAGGGCACAGAGGAAGGGCATCCCTGAGCAGCAGCAGGCGGGATCTACCCAGGCGGTGCGTGGGGACGCCCTAGGGAACCCTGACTCTGCAAAGGGGCCACGGGTTGGGGGGTGACCTATTTGGACGACACTCAGACGCCTGGAGGTGGGAGGCAGCGAGGCTGAACAAGCACTTTGGAGCAGGTGGACATGGGAAGGAAGGATGCCTCCTCCAGGGCTGGGCAGGGCCCCTCAGAGGGGCTCCAGGAGGACCTGGCCAGTCTTCTCACAGTTGCAAGGAGCTCGGGCGTATCACCTGGGGCTTCCCCAGCGCTCCAGCCCCCCCCCCCCCCCCCCCGAGTATGCCAAATTCAACATGTGGGCCCTCACTAGTTAGGAAGAACCAAGGATGGCGCCCCACATTGCGGGTGCCAGCGACAACGCCAGCACCTCCCCCTGCAGGTCTCCCAGCCAGGTCTGCCCACGTGGCTGCCACCGATGGGCACCAGGTGCTGCTTCAGATGCTGCTGCCAGGGCTAGCCAGACGTGCAACATGGGGGCTTGGGTCAGCGCTGGGCCTGAAGGCCAGGCAGTTCTGACAGTGAGGTGTGGGGGCGCTGGGAACCTGCACTTTTACAGCAAATCCACCTGGAGGAGAAAAGTTGGGGACACGTGGCTGGGGGGCCGGGGGTCGACGCCATGGCAAGGAGGAGGCGAGAGCCCCTTCTCCCCAACCTGAAACCCAAGCCTTCACCTGGAGGTGCCGAGCGCCTGCCGAGCGGCGGCTCCTGCCTCTGTGCTGGGAGGCCACCGCGCAGACCTGCACTCCGCCGCTTCCCGGCCAGCCGCCGCCGAGTCATCATTTCCAGCTCAGCCTGGAAAGCTGGACCGCGCCGCCGCGTGTGCTCTTGGCAGCCGGGCGCCCGGGGCCCCGCGGCCACATCATCCCGGGGCGGGGAAGTGTGCGCTCCGGGCGCCCGCGCCGCCACCGAGCCACGTCGGTGCCGCCGGCGCGCGCGGTCCGGGGGTGGGCGAGCGGCGGCGCTGGGCGGGACCCCGGCGGGCGGGGGCCCTGCGCGGGCTCTAGGACCCGCGGGACGCCGCCGGCGGGCGGGGTGCGGGGGAGCGGATAATTTGTTCCGTGGTAATGAGAACTGGGATTGCTGGCCGTGGGTCCATTTCACAGGCCGGCCTCCTCTCCCGGGCCGGCTTCCTGGTCCCCGGGCCAACTCGGACAGTTGGCTCATTTGTTGCAACGGTCAAGGCCGGCTCGTGCCAGCGCGCGCGCGCGCACACGCACACACACATACTCACACGCGGGGCAAACTTGTAAGAAAATGGACCGCTAGGCCGGCGGCTCCGCGGCGCGGGCGTTGCGCGCGGGCTCCGAGGCGACTCGTCGCGGCGCCAGGGTCCTGGGTGCGACGCCCGGCCGCAGCCCTGCGCCCCCGTGGGATGGTGCCGCGCTCGCCGGCCGGCCCGCAGCTGCTGCACCCAAGGCCAGCGACGATGGCCACGCGCCCGCCGCCCGCGCCCCCCGCGCGCGCCTGCCTACTCGTCCTCCTGGCCGGGGCTCTGCTCGCGCCCCGCGCGGCCCGAGGTAAGTCCACGAGCCCTGGCGGCTCCCCCTGTGCGGCGCCCGGGCTGCCCCGAGAGACGGGATCCAGGGGCTCGTGCGCCCAGTGGGCGGCACTGCTCGGTCCACTCCTGGGGGCCATTCCCGGAGGCAAGGGGACCCGGGGCGCGGGGTCCTGAAGCGCCGGGCGCCTCGCTCTCCGGTGACGCTCCCTGGACTCTGGCTCCAAAGCCTGACAGGTACACGTGTCGCCGGGAAAGGTGCGCTCTGACCCAACCCGCAGTGACCCTGGGTCTCGCCCACTTTCCTTTCCTCCCCCGCTCCCCGTGCGCTTCCTCCACCTGCTACACCTGGAGGAAGGCGCCAGAGCCCCGCAGGTAAACTAGCTCCGTCCTGCACAGGTGTGTCCACTGTGCTCCGCCGGGCTCTCCTCCTCGTTCATTTTCTCCTCCAGGGCCCTGGCCTCTCCCCCGACGGATCCTTCCCCTGGTCATCAGGTGGCCATCAAACTTTTGAACAAGATTCTTCCGCCTCTGGTTCCTTAGTTTCGCGGCCGTAAATCACAGGTCCCATCGCCCGCGGGTCGAACGAGAGAACTCATGTTGGAGTTCACCTGGAGGTCGGGTGATCTCGGTGTTTTACAGACTGGGATTTCCCTAAATTGCATCTCTCTAGCACTGGGCGCTCTGGGTCCTGCTGGGGTAACCAGGACTCATCCAGCAGGTGCCTTTGTCAAAATCCCAGCGCTGTCCAACCTGCCGCTAGGGGCGCTGCCGGCCCGCCAGTGCACACCCGGCTTTGGCTGGGGGGGGGAGGGGTTCTATGATTCTGTTTAGCAGGCGTTTCTTTTTCAACCAGCAGCCTCCATCCCAAACCGTTACTACTTTATGGTACGTGTTATTTTTGCATTTGCCACTGTTACCCTGCACTCTCACCGTGTCTGCTTGATGTGGCTGCACCCCAGCCCTTGTTAAAATCCACACAGCAATAAAGGCCAAGTTGGGAATGAATGATTTTAAAAAGTATTGCATAAGGCCAGGAAGAAGCAGAGACAGCCGAGAAGGAATACTTCTGATTATTTAAAAGCATCTGCAAATGGATATAGTGGCAATCGAGAAGGTTTTCAAAGACTAGGGCAGACGAGTCCTTGTGTATGTTTGCTGAGGGACCTGAAAGAGGTGAGGCCCAGAGTAGCCCGGGAGAGCTCCGTGGTTCACGCTTGCTGTGTGCACACACAAAGTCTGCTTAGAGGAGATGCTAACTGAATCATGCTAGGGATAGCCAATCATTGCTCAAGGGTGGGGGCGCTTATGACTACAGATTATTTTTCCTTAGCATAGCATAGCCATTGCCCAATGAGAAAGCCACTTGGAATTGTTCGGGATTCGTTGCGTGTTTACCGTCTCAGTGTCAGATATCATGTCCCCAATCGCATCACTGGGGTTGCTTAAAAGTCCAAACACAGAATGCAACAATTGTTCCTGCTGGCAAGAAACAAGGAGGAATTTTTGTTGCTTATGAGTGGAGGAGATTATTCTGGGTTTGAGTTCAGCTTTGCTCACCACCCTGAGCCCTGGCACAATTTCTTACCCCTCAGATACCATCTGAGGCAACTCGACCCTACTGAGTCCGGAATGGGATACTGCGTTCCAAACCCTCCGCTCCCAAATCATTCCTTCCTCGGTCTTTGGAAAACTTAATTCATTAGAAAGGCATAAGGACACATGATTGATTCCATGGTTTACTCTCCACACAGCCACCACAGCCAGGGGCAGGCGGGACGGAAACCAGCACACTGGGTCTCCTCCGTGGGTGGCAAAGGCACAGCACTCCGCTGCTCCTGGGCTGCCTTCCCAGGCACACTAGCAGGGAGCTGGGTCTGAAGTGGAGCAGCTGGGCCTCCACCTGGACTCCAGTTTGGGCCGCTAGCATGGCACTGCAAGCAGCCTCACCTGCTGTGCCTCACCGCTAGTCCACCCTCTAGTCTTAACTCAATAATAAAATCTTCTGCCTTCTTCAGACTCTATATACTAATGCTTGGGAAATGTTGCCCAAGTCTCCGCCCTAAACCTTTAATGTTCAGTGTGTACCCTCATCCACCCATGTCCTTCCAACCTAGAGCACCTCGTTTTTGAAGTCTCTTGCAGAAACCTCCTCTTGAGTGTAACAGGTTTGACACTGCCTAGGCATCCTCCTAGCATCCCCAGCGAAGCCCTGATTCCCAGTCTGTTTCCTGATGGAACTCTCCGGAGACTTTCTGTCGCCCTAGGAAGGAAAAGCTGCACCTCCGAGTGACGTAATTCCTCTTTTCCTACTCTCCTTTCTTAGCTTCCTCTGCCTTGCTTACTCCAAGTCACGCTGGCTTATCCAGATTTTCAAATCAGTTGCTGAAACACTAACTCAATAAGTATCAATATTTGTACTTCAGAGTATGCAAATATTTTTCACAGTTTAGCTACAGTGTTTCATTTCATTTCATGCCTTTTACACTCTTTGTTTTCCTAGAGTGTATGGTTGCTTTGTTTGTACATATGTTGTTTTCTTTGTAACAACCTGTGGTGTCATGCATGAAAGTGTACATGCTGCCTGCTCCTGGTTCCTCCTATGAAACTCCTAAAACACGTAGAATCTCTGCAGTGTGGGAAGTGTTTACTCTGTGCTAACGAGATGTATAGGGGCTGGGGATCCCCTGATATTTTCAGAAAGGGATCTTGCCACTAGAAAGACTAAGGCATTTTCAGACAATTGGGGCTTTCATCTCCGCACCACCCTACCCTGACCTCCAGGGAGGTGGGAGGGGCTGAAGGTTGAGAGGACACTGGTGGCCTATGATGTAATCCATCGTTCCTGTATAATGACATGGTCTCCATAAAACCCAACAGGATGTGGCTTAGGAGTTCCCAGATTGCACACTTGTGGAACTGGCTGGAGGGTTTTGGACTGCAGGGGCCACAAAATCTTGCTCCCCTTCCCGCGTCCTTTGCCTTATACATTCATCTCTTCAAGACGGCTCTGCATCTCTATGCATTATTTATTTTATTATTATTTTATTTATTGTTTTCCTGTTCTTTGTTTTAGATGTTACCCAGTCGGTCCTGGCACATTAGTTGAACCTGAGGAGGGTTTAGGGAAACCGAGTTTACAGGCAGTTGACCAGACATGTAGGGGACAGCCCCTTCCTTCTGAGGAGCATGCAGACAGGGGCAGTCTGTGGGCCTGGTGTGGATGGGTGGCCCCACATGGCCAGTGTCAGTGGAGCTGCATTGTGGGCCAGCCTGCCAGTGTTCACCCAACAACTGCTGTTATGGGGAGAAATCCCTGCATATTTGGTGACCGGAAATGAAACGTTTTGGTTTTTCTTGTCATACAACCTCTGTTTTACCTCCACGCGTTTCCTGTTCCATGCCAGGTTTGTGGCATGGGTGGGGACCTAAGCACCACACTTCCTTTACATCTTTTACACTCAGAAGTTGGCATTTGTATTTATGATTAGTGCCTCTTGGTCCCCTTATGGCTGTGTCTCTCTTGGCAGCGTATCTGGAATCTCCGTAACAATGAGGGGCAAGGTGGAAGAGCCAGAGAGCAAGGCAGCCGGTTCGAAATGTATTAGAAAGACAGTAGCACAAGAAGTCTTCAAAAAGTTCCTGGAAGTGCAAATGAAAAAAACTCCTTGGATTTCAAAATTAATTTTTACCAACATAATGCTTCTAAGAAGATTGATTTATGTATGTGAAAGACTTAGAAGGTGGCGACACAAAGTTCTTCCAACTGCTGGCTGTTTTCTCCAAAACTGCATTGGTACCAGGGCTGTGCCAGGCTGCAGCCAGGAGCCAGGAACTCTGTCTTGGGCTCCCCTGTGGGTTGCAGAGATACCAGGGAGCTGAGATGGAACAGGTGTTTGAACAGGTGTTTTATGGGCTGCCAGCATCACAGTGATTATGCTGCAATGCCACAGTGCAGTCTCAAAGTTTGTTCCCTCTTTGCTTCCTCCTTTCCCTTCTATCCTTTTTTCCTTCCTACCTTTCTTTCTCTTCCTTCCTTTCCCTTCCTAAAAGATGTTTTATTTAATTTCAGAACAAGGAAGGAGGGAGAGAGAAGGAAGATCGTTTGGCTATAACAGTTTGGTCTGGGCCAGGCCAGAGTCAGGAGCCTGGAAGCCGTCAGGTTTCCCCTGTGAGTGGCAGAAGTGCACTCACCGGGGCCATGCACTGCTGACTTCAAGGTGCTTTTGCAAGAAGCTAGATCTGAAGCTGAGCAGCCATGACGCAAAGGAGCACAACAATCTGGAAAGCCAGCCTTGCCAGTGGCAGCTTGACTTGTGCCACAGCACATTTTCAACAAACTCAAGTTCATTTCATGCCTGCCTGCCCTTGCCTGCTTTGTTGAGGTGCACAATGAACGGCCGTTGGGTTGAGGTGTTTCTTTAATGCTTAGTTCTCTAAACATAGTCCTTTTTTCTGATCTCTAGAAGTGTTACCTGTATAGTCGTGAGTATTCTTGCAGTTCATGAGGATATGCTTTAGTCACGTCCTCCTTGGTAACTGCGCTGGGGACGCAGTTTGGGAATGTATGCTGTACACTCCCAGCACACCGTCTTGTGTGATTCCATCAGTTTTCTCACTACTCCTTTCCTGAAGCCTCTGTCCGCTGCATGTCCCGGCCTGCCGTCAACATCCTTCCGCTTTGTCTCTTTTCATCTCTTTTTGCATTTTTGTAACTTTGATTTTTCAACCCTTCTACCTAATACTTAAAATCCTGCCTCCACATGTTCGATTTGTGAGCTTACTCATTCTGCAGTGCCCTTTGCTCCTTTAATTGTGCTGTAGTATCCCATAATGCTTCAGGGTTTGTAGCAATCGAGTACAATGAGGATCACGTGTTCTGTGTTTTCATCGTTGGCTCTGGGGTTCTTTTTGCCCTCATTGTTGTCCCTAAGGGCCTTTGGCTTGGGTGGCGTTTGGTGAAGGGGCATTGAAGAGCTCAGTGCCAGCACTGTGTGCGTGGGTGGGGGCTGCCCGGCTCTT